GGGGGGGGGTTTAACGCAAAAATAGGGGCCGCGGTTTGCAGACCAAAAAATGACAATAATCCATGTACGATGACATTTAATAGATCCTCTAGGTGTTCTTCATCTTCTGCTATTAGGACTGTGTCGTCTGCATATCTTAGATTGTTTACGTTATGTCCCCCTATCAAGATACCTGACATTTCTTCTATGTGTCTCATGATATTTTCACTATACAGGGAGAACAAGTGTGGTGAAATTACAATAGATATAGATATAGTTAATAGTATTTGAAAACCGGGTTTAACTATAGGAAACTGGCCACTAAATCTAGCACTACTCTGTGTCCCTCGGGATCCCAAACTATGCCTGGTGAAGCTTGAACTGACCCTGTGTCACGAAGGGTTTAATAAGTTTATAAACAAAATTGTTATTATTGGCAGGCCACATGGGTACCATGATCAATGCTATGAAGACGATGTGTATTCGGTTAGCACAGTCACTGTTTCCCAGTCCTCCGACTCAAATTACTGATTTGTCAAACATATTTGTCAACCCCCGAACATGTTTGAGATAACCTTGTTCAAACCCTGCTCAACTGTATATATTTATATTTCCTCAGAAAATACATTGCAGATAACCTTCACAATGTTGCATTCAACAAGCCGATCTGTGAAGTCCTTTTGAATCAAAAATTCTTTAATGGGATTGGTAACTACCTGCGTGCAGAAATACTTTACAGGTAATTTTGAATATTGACTGTTTTCATGTATATGAATGAAATAATGTATGTAATCAGCTTGGAGTTCTGTTAAGCTTTTTGAACAATTTCATTGTTGAAGTCTAATTTTCTTTTACTTTTCTTTGTTAGGAAGTTTGTTAAGAGTGCATTCAATTTAAGGGCACCTCTATTTTAATATTTTGGATTCTGAACTATATATGTTTATATTAGTTGATGTCTCAAAAAAAATTGTTTTTGCAGCATTTCCTTTCCTATGGCTTAATTTTTTTAAATTACCAAATCCCTGAGTTGCTTGAGCTTGGTTCCTTTGACTTGATGTCACTTCATATTGAAAAGAAAGGCTATCTTTCAATATCTGATTGAACCCGACTCCCTGTGTCCTGAGACTCTTCTCATTTTAAGTTCATAAATGGGGTATTTATTCAGTTTTGAATCTATATATTGCTTACCTTTCTATGCATGTGAAATCTATTTGCTATTTGGCTGTGCTGTTTTCCATAAATGTTTGTGTCTGATATGGTTTTCAGGTGTGAAATTCCTCCTTTTCAACAAGCGAAAAGTGTACTAAAGCTTCAAGAAAATGGCACAGAAATCAAACAGGTAAACAAGTTTGAAATGCTGACAGTGTCCAAACAATCATATTTCTCCTTTCTCCTGTGTAATATTCATGAGGTTCTATAAATTCATTTAGGGTTATTGCCACATTGCGCAACATTGTGAAATTAGGCTTTCATGTTATTTGTTTTATTTCATACCCAATTTTAACTTGAGTTCAAGAGAATGTGATAAAGATATTGACTGAGTGTATGTCATCCTCATGCTGACAAAGAGGGAAAATATTGATTTTCCACATTTGTTTACCTTACTAATTTTTGTGAAATTATGGCTTTGCAAATTTGTTGGTTTCATATAAAGAATTAAGTTAGTTACATATAATGGAGTTTGTAGAGTTTATGTGCTCACCCGTTTGTTCAATTAAAGATGAAGGAATGCAATGCCTTTATATGCGAAATTCTGAAATGTTTGAAAAATATGACGTATGCAATAACCTGTTCTAAAACGAGTGATTCACTTCAGTTAAAAGAGTTTATTTTCATGATATTATTGTACTGGAGGAAAAGACATGATATTGTAAGCAGTTTGATATTCATGCCATGAGGCATTCTACTGTTACCATCTGTTGTGTGCATATTAATATATTGAGAGTCCGTCCTTGTAGCTCTGACATGGATGTTGAGACCAAGCATCCTCAGAATTTTGGAAGCAGATAAAAAATTCCATTCAAAACCTTTTTCAGAAATTGAGATCAGTAGAACACTTCAAGTGTTTAATCAATCTGCAAGTTCGTAGATTGAATCAACTTATTGGCATCACTCTCGAGTGAAAGAGGTTGAAAAGGGAAACATTTTTGTTTGCTTGCTCCACTTGAAGTACAGTGACCTAGGGTTGAGTGTTCCAATTTTGTCATATCCAGTTAGTGGCCTCATTTCTGGCTCTCCTCTGCTGCCTCTGTTAATGCAGGATGATAGTGTTGTGTCTCTCAGTGACTTCAAATATTCTACTTAATTGAATCAGAATAGATGATTTGCCTGTAGATTAATAAAATAAATGGTGTTTCAGAACTAACATATTGAATAGCATACTTGACAAGCTAAACAAGAACCTGTGGTTTGTTGGCTGTTGTGCACATATTTTTTGGGTAAGCCAATCTTTTAAACTTTAAAATGTGTTATTCAACAAGTTGTGGGTTTGTTTTGTTTTTTAGCCGTTTGATTGGGCAGAAAATTTTGTTTATTTGAAATGAAAGTTTGGAATGGATCACAGGAGGTGTATTGCTGTGGAACTGGTACTCTGATGAATTAAAACACTCTACCCTAGCACCAACTTTCAGCATACATTATCAAAAGAAACAAAACATCTTGTAGTTTATTCATATAAACTAAAAAGAATTTCAAACTTGCACTTCTAAGTTTCTTATTATGTTGAATATCCCAGTACCAAATGTAACTTTTATACCAAAGGTTGCAGCTAAGGCATTTTACTGTTTTTCTGGCCCAAGCATCACATTCCATGCAGTAGAAATGTTTCAATCAGTTATTATGATTTTTGTGTTGTTGTTAGAAAAACAAAATTTACTTCTGGTAATTTTGATTGAAATTGTCTCTAATATTTTGTACCATTGAGCTACTGGCATTATATGTGCACAGCCATATAACATGTTTGCTTATCTGTGTGTTTATTTGTTTGTGCTCATTAGTACACTTTCCTAAAAGTAGGGTTTGCTTTCAAGCATAAGACCAATATGTTTCCAGGAATACAAAGACACTGGTGTCACCATTAAAAAGGAGCTTGAAGAGATGAGTGTAAAGCAACAAAACACCAGTGGCCAAGACACTCAGAAGGCTTCTAAAAGAAAAGGACAAAATGGAAAGTGTGATGAGAGCAGTGATTGTAAATACCTTAAAGTGGAAAAAGTTGAAGTGGAAGAAACAAAGGGAATGATGAATGGTGATGCTGCTGAAAGCTTTCTTGCTACACATTTTGACAGCAAAGCACAACAGGTCTTGCAGTTGTGTCACAAGGTTCCTTTGGAAGTTGTAGAATTAGGTATGTCAAGTTATACATTTTTCCAAGTGCTTTTGACATTTTTTTCCCTTATGTAGAAATATGTTGTTAGTAAAATGGATTTTAGTTCTCTTTACTGATCATTCATTGATGTCATTTTTTTTTGCCAACGTTTCTTTGTGTATTGTGTGGGGTGTGTGTGTGTGGGGGGGGGGGGGGGGTATTTTACATCTTGCAGAGGTTGATGTGGAAAATATTTTAAATGAGGTGTCTGAACAACGCTGAGTTTATTTCTAGTTCATTTATAATCCACTTGCATGCCCCTTGAAATTTGATAATACTAATACATTCTGAATATTAGAAAAGAGTTTTAATTTTGTTTCTTTAGCCATTGTCTCATGAATGAGAATTTTTAAATAATATGTTTGTTTAAAAAGGTGTTATGGGACGAAACCGTGCATTTGAGCGGAGCATACTTTTGTATGGCGTGCATTTGGGTGGAGACTACTGTATTACGTGTGCTCTTTGTCTTCTACGCCTGTTGTCTCCCTTGCTTTTGAAATACTAGTGAATGATAATGATAATTGACAATAATGAATAAATGAATCACGTTTTATTGATCTCCATAGGGAAATTTGGATTACAATGGCCAACATACACATACATTAATACATAACTATAAATGCATGCATAAATACACAATAATTACACCAATACAGAACAAATTCACAAACCTGCCATTGCTGATTGCCACTGTGCAGCACCCTGGTTTTTTTTAGCTAGGGCTGTCATGTCTTCCTCAAGGACACACCCCATGATCACCCTCCTAAACCCATGTCAAAGATACTTGCTTGGCATTACTTTTGAGTCTGAACTCACTACTCATTTTGCCACAGGAACCCCAAATGACAAATATTGTGTAAATGTGCTTTTATCCACTCAAACAAAAAATTGAGATTAGTCTTTCTTTATTCCTTTTTCTTCTTCATTTCCATCAATCACCCTACGAAGCAATAAGTGTTTTTTTATTCCATCTGCTTGGATTTTCCGTCTCACTGTAAAACTCATAGTTGCATTTTATATGTCATATGATGTTCTTTCTTTTGGTAAGTGTTTTACGGCGCTCGCGACGACATATGGTCATATGAGTGTGTGGGACACATTAAGCGTTTTCAGTTTGTAGGAAATTTTTAATTTTGCCCGGGTGGTGCCGAAGCCTTTTTTTATCGATTTTAGACCAACAAGGGATCTTTAACGTGCACAACTTGCACACGGAACGTCCAAGGTCTTTCTTAGTAGAAGATAAGGGGTATGGCTGAAAGACAGCAGTAAAGAGCCAAGGAGTAGACTGTAGCAGTAGAAAGGCTGCAGAAAGAGTCAGGAGCCCAGAGGAGAGGGCAAAGGAGGTGAGGGGGTGGGGGTTGAAAGTGAAGATGAAAACAGACAACAGAACATTGCTAGAGAGCAGGAAAGGAGGTGAAAGGAGACAATTTTAGAGAAGAAAATTTCTAGGTTGCTACCCGAATTCAAACCCGGGACCTTTGAATGAGAGGTGAACACCTTAACCTATAGGCCACGAGAGCCTCCTCATACGATGTGTGTCATCCTCAGGTTCTAAAAAGGATTCCTTGTCAGAAATGTACAGTGATGAGAGTGACTCATCATACCGCAACTGGCTACAGTGCTATTACCAGCCGGGTATGAAGAACCTGGCAGACCACAACAAGAGAACCATTTGGTTCTCTGGTCCCCCTGGTCCTATGGTGCCTAAAGGTAATTCCCATTTTTTGTCCAACCCTCTTCACCAAAAGTTTCTGAGCAAACAAGTCTGCAATGGTCATTGTAGGGACTCAATGAAACAAAACAAACAGTGTCTTGTGTGGCCTAGAATTTAGTGGCACACCAGCAAGAGATTACTCATTCTCACAAGTTTAAACAGTCTGAATGAGTGTTGAAAACTTTGTGCTTTTATGTCTTTTTCTGAGTATATCTTGGCTGTTAATAACAATCGGGTACATTGACTTTAACTGTTTTGGTGATTTCTCAGGAGTTCCATTCAAAATCCTGAAATGAAGTCTTTCCTTCACCCACTTTAGTTATGCTGTCCTTGCCCAACCTTTGACAGTTCACAAGTCTTCACAAAGAGAAAAAAAACTAACAAGGGCTGTAGATGGCCATTGTAAGACAGCAACCACATTGTCTGTCATATGACTGCATGACTTTTCCAGAGGTCAGCAGCAGTGTGCTGTTACCACAAGTCACGTAAGGTGTCAGCAGCAATAGTGTGCTCAGTACGCTGGAGACCCACACAGCTTTGAGTAGATGTTTCACCAAGTCTCACCCCTGTATTGTTTACTGAGTAGTGCCTAGTCACAGGATAAGCACAGATGCTTCTTTGCATTGATTAATAGTATACATTCAGTCTGAGGACGGGTTGGCAGATAACTGTTGTAACAAGCAATAATAATAATGAAAATGCAGATCATTTCAATAGCACCTACTCTTGTACAATACACTTCTAGGCGCTTTACAATACCTTATCTCAACACAAAACACAAGTGGATAAACATACATATATACATATACACTGCGCTAGCGAAATGGCATACCGGTAATTCAGAGTTGTGCCAAAATGCAACTAGCCTTTTATTTTATTTGGTGGTACTATATCAATCTTGCGGTAAAACAAAAACAAAAATGTGCAGGCAGTTACAAAAGAAACATGCATGGTAAGTTTTACCATTATTAGATGATAAGTAGTCTTGCTTTAAAAAAAATTTTCATTTATCTCAAATTCAAAAGCTGCAAAAATGAGATTGCCATTTTGCCAGCACAGTTTCGATATGCTCTTTTGATGAATGCTAACACCTTAGCAAACATTCATACTGTCACTGCACAGTGGATCGTGATTTGAACATCACATTATGAACATAAATGCACTATGAATAAGAGACTAACAACCAAAATGACATTTTTCCTCCGACTTTGTATACCCTCAAATGTTATGGCAGAGGGTTGTCTAATTATGACCATTAGAAAGAAAGATATTGCAGATTTCGTTTAATTTGGGTTATCCCTGAGCATGATTTTTTATGTCCCAGTGCCGATATATAAGTACCAAATAAATTTTCAGTGACTTTATAAAGAGATGCATCTTTTGTAGATGTATGTTGTAAAGTTGCATTTTGGTGGCCCAAAAGACCCATGTTAAAAATACCTTAAATTGGCCAGAAAATAGGTAAGAAAAATCGTCATAACTTTATATCTATTGAAGATATCAACACAGTTTAAACTTTTTTTATGAACAGGAAGGCAAGAGCTTTCAAATGAAAATACAGTTGAACCTGCCATGATGGTTACCTGTGTGATACAACCACCTGTGTAAATAGCCACTTTCCATTTTCCCCTTTGGGTTTTTTTCTATATAATCTCACTGTGTAAAACGGTCACCTGTCCAACGCAGCTGCGACCACCGTAATTTATCAACCTATTTAAGACGGCCGTCGCCCAACGTTTTGTTATAAATTATGTATTGACCCCTGACGCTGTGACAAGCTGTCGTAATCCAATCACCTGTCGTTATTATAAGTCATGTTGGGTAGCCCCTCCCACTGTTGACCAATCGATAACAATAAATTTTCAGCTGCCGGTGAGGGAAGTGTGTGATCCCTCATAACCCATAAGCCCCGCCCATAACTCTTTCACAAAGGAACTTGGGACAGAAGCGTCGCTCATTCTCTGAGTGGTCGCGACCCATGTGTTTGTTTTACCATTATACTCGGTCTTCCTGGTCTGACACATTTCATTTTATTTTACCCTTGCACAAAATAGCAACGAAAACAAGCTAACAAAAACAATAACCAACTACAACACAAACAACTACTCCCCGCCCCCTCCTATTTTTTTTTTTAGAAAAAAGACAAAAACCCATTTTGATCACCTTAGGGCAGTCTAAGCCGGTGACCACCTCCGGTTGGAACCTGAGAAGGGGATGGTTTGTTTTCTTTATTTTGATCAGTCCTGCCTAAGATGGCCTCCTGTCTTATACGGTCGCTTTTCTCCTCGACAATCGATGGGTAGCCGTCTTACTCAGGTTCGACTGTATTTCAAAGCATATTCGAGAATTTCGAATTTTTCATGAAGCTGCCTGGTCTGAAGGGACATTTAGAGAGAGATCATGGGTGAAATATGGCTCTAAAACTTTATGCAGTTTCTTGGACAAGTATGTTTGATTTCTTCAGCTCTTTTTCTCATTAAGTCATATCCTTTATAAATAAACAAACTCATGATTATGATTTCTATTTATGGTTGCACATATTGATTAACAAGTACCACTATTTGACTCTTTAGTAACTATGAAATCAGATTCGAGATAACTTTTTATTTCCTTCTCTCCCAACAGAACAAAAAAGCAGAAAACCAAAGACAAAGAAAAGCTCTTCTGATTCAAATGCCAAGAAAGAAAAGGTAAATAAGTGTTTTGGACCTCTACATGTTTTCAGATTAAGGTTTCTGTATGTTTATTTTGTGCTAATGAAGTTCAGAGAATCACAGATTGATTACAGAGAAATGTCAGGATAGAGACATAAAAACAACTGAGGGAAAGAAAGAAGAAGAAGAAATGAATGGTCCGCTTCAACCACCCACATAATCGCCGTGTGAGTATCATTTTGAATAATGAATGAATCAAAAGTGAAGCATTGCTTTATGACCCAGCAGTATTGCATTCTTATTAACTCTTTCCACACTGTTCACCACACTCCGTGCATTCAGATTTTATTGTTAGGTATAAATGATAAGATAGCTACTGGTGGAAGAGAAGATGTGGAGCTCCCCAGTGCGAGGTATTCCCTCACATTAAGGCTCAAGATATTTCCAAGTTCTTATGATCCTTCCTTGATCAGACCAGCATGTTAAGATGAACAGTTTATAAAGTCTAATTTGGGACAAAGAAATATTCTACAAATAGAAATAGGGCTTCATGAAATAGATCAAAATTCCTCTCTCTTAGTTTTGGAATGAAGGAAAGTTTGGTAGATTTTGCTTAATAGAAAATAAGTGTTAACTTGAAAGGATTTCAGATTCCCCTCTCGACTGCTACTGTTGTGATGCACTGTGTTCGAATCCAATTTTTTTTC